TCTCAGAATAGCCAAGATTAAAAACTCTGATGACAGCTTATGCTGGAGAGGATGTGGAATAAGGGGAACACTCCTGCATTGCTGGTGGGAGTGCAAACTTGTACAGCCACTATGGAATTAAGTATAGCAGTTTCTCAGAAAATTGGGAATCCAGCAATTCCACATTCAGGCATATACCCAAAGGATGAACATTCACACCTCAAGAACACCAACTCAACTATGTTCACAGCAGCATTATTTGTAGTAGCCAGAACCTGGAAATAACCTAGATGCCCCTCAACTTAAGAATGGATAAGGAAAATGTGGTATATTTACACAATGGAGTACTGCTCAGCAGAAAAACAAAACAAAACAAAACAAAAAAAAAACCAACAATATATTGAAATTTGCAGGCAAATGGACTTATCTAGAGAAAGCCATCCTGAGTGAGGTAACCCAGATCCAGAAAGACAAATATAATATGTACTCGCTCATAGGTGGATTTTAGACATAGAGCAAGGACAACCAGCCTAAAGGCCACAACCACAAAGAACTTATGTAACAAAGAGGGCCCTACCAGAAACATGAATCAGCTTAAGAGAGGGAAAAATACAAGATCTCTTGAGTATATTGGGAGTAGGGGAGCAGGGCAGGGGTAGAAGGTGAAAGAGGAGGAGGGGAGTAGGGAAAATGTATAGCTAAGTAACAATGAAAATGGCAAAAAGAAAGGAAAGAAGGAAGGAAGGAAGGAAGGAAGGAAGGAAGGAAGGAAGGAAGGAAGGAAGAAAAGAAGGAAGAAAAGCATGGGTCTCTGAAAACAAGTGAATAAAGCAACCTGCTATGTCATGAAACAAGAACAGCAATAAGCAAATGCAAATCCTAATGCAGTTAAGTTTTACTCTCTTGAAAGACCAAAAAGTGAAGTTAATAAAGGACGGTCTGACCTGGAAAGCTAACCAATATCTGTTCCTTGGAATTTGCTAACTTCCTCTCACAAGGCCCTGAGATAACAAGAATTCACACTGCCCCTCCTTTCTTGTGAGTCAACAGGTGATGAATAGGGTCCTTAGGAAACAAAGAGATAGCTGCAACTCCGGTATGCCCAGACAAAATTAATTAGCACACCCTGAGGCCCTAAGGTCTGTTGCCTTTAAAAACACCTGGGCCCAGGGGGAGGGGGCTTCTCTCTAGCCTCGTGGACTAAATGTGGTTCCCTTTGCCTTAAGCTTTTCAGTTTCTTGAGGTACCATTTATTAAGTGTTGTTCTTAGTATCTGTGCTAGTCATGATCTGTTCGTACATAGTCATTTTGCCAATGATATCAAAGCTACTCCCCATTTCGTCTTTTACCAGATTCAGTTTACCTTGCTTTATGTTAATGCAATTGTTCCAGGTAGGGTGATCTATTTTGATTCAAATATCTACTCAAATAAAGAGGATGAAGTCGGATTCAGGAACCTTGTATTATAGATTAAAAACTAAGGAACCCTCATCCCGAAGTAAAAAATGAAATATCCAGTAAGCCTAATATTACTCAGTGGAAAAGCTGTCCACTAGGACCTGGGTACAATTCTCAGCACCCACATGACAGCCAAAAACTGTCTTCAACTTCAGTTCCAGATCTGACACCTTCCTACTAATTCATATAAAATAAAGTTAAATAAAAATAAATTTTAAAGAAGAAAGAAACCCACCCTGGCTTTAAAATCAGAGCCAGTGAAAGAAACACTTTGGCCCTGAAACTAGAACCAAAGAAACATGTCCTGACCCTGAAACCAGTGTCTTGGTACAAGAGCCTGTGAAAGAAACACCCTGTGCCTGAAACTAGAGTCAAAGGGTTAAAAAAGGCTCAGAGAAACATACTTTGGCCCCCAAACCAAAGCCAAATATGACCCTGGATAACTGAACACGAACCCCACCAATCCCTGAGCAAGAAATCTGGCCAATGTGAACTTGTACAACATGAAGGGGATCAAAATCTGATCAATTCCCTCCCTGAAAAATCTTACCACTGAGGAAAAAAAAAAACTTCACCCCTAAAAAGCCCTATATAAGCCCCTCTGCTTGTTCAGTTGGCAGATGTTCTCCTCCAACCTGGCAGAGGCAGCCACTATCCTGGATTCTTTTCCAAGTAAATCTCTCAAAAGAGTTTTGGGTGAAGATCTCCTTTCACTGGCAGGGAGCAGAATCTCTGCTGGGAAGCTAGCAAAGCAGAGGAAGCAACTGATATCTCTGCTGTGAAACTTCCTCAGGAACAAAGCAGAAGTAAAACCTTTTAGCTAGAGCCAGAGCAGATGCTACATTTCAAGTGTTTCCACCTGGGCAGAGTGAAGCACAAGAAGTAACTGACATCTTGGACCTGAGCTGAGAAGAAATGGACATCTCTGCTGGTAAACTTTGCGGGGGAGGGGGGGGGAAGCAAGAGCAAAGTTCAGCTATTATCCCGAGGAGATTGCCACATCCTATAGGAAGACCATTCCCCAGTAGACCCTAGTTTCAGGTATAGCCTGACATCCCAACAAATCCGAGTACCTTTCTCTCCTGAGCTATAGGTGTTATAGGTGTCTATCTAGAATAACTTCCCTTTACAGCCTCAGGTGAAAGACCCCAAGAATTTGGAGCCTGTCAGGGGAAGGTCCTTACCCCAAGAGACGAGACCAGACCACTGGATGCAAGTGCAAGAGGCAGTTTAATGTTTACACACAGGTATCTGTGGACGCTTCAGTCTTTATCGGGAGACTGAGAGCATGCGTGGTTAAAGCATATGCAGTTTATATAGGGTTGGGGTGGCAAGAAGCAGGCTTACAGAAGCAGAAGCATGGTTACAGGGATTTCATTGTTTCATCTAAATGTAGTGATTGTAGTTAACCAAGGACAGTTAGTTATTCGGGTTGGGCACAAAGAATACAAATTCAGTTATGACTATCTCAGCATCCCGGATACCATCCTGCTGACCTTGCTTTGGTCCAAGCTGCGGACCACAGATATCTGGTTGGCATCAGTTCCCTCCTGTACTTTTCCCATAACCTGACCTTGGCAAATTGGCAAGAGCAGCTCAAACAGGCAATATGCATAGTGGGGGTCTTTCACAGGTATAGCCTGGCAGCCTGACAAGTTAGGATATCTTCCTCCTTATAGCTGTAGGTATCCAGGAAACCCCCCTCAGAGCTGTAGATATAGCCTGACTTTTTGACAAGTCAGGATAACTTTCCCTCCAGAACTATAACACTTGCAAGGCTAACCAGGCTGCAAAGCTACACAGAGAAACCTTGTCATGATGATGATGATGATATGGAGACAGGTCAATGATGTCAAGAGAGTGAGGAAAAAGAGACTAAATTGGGTAAATATTAATGACTCTTAGGAAATGATTAAAATGTATTGCAACTGCTCATGCTTGAATGCATTCAAACCATCTAGAAAACTAGCTTCGGTTATTAGACACCATCTATCTGAAAGACAACTGATGGCCTGTTCGTTATTGGTCAACTTCACACCTCTGTACTGTACAAGGTCAGAACCCTGTGGAAGCTGGACTCTGCCAAGTAGGCAGTGCTCTTAATCTTTGAGTCATCTCTCCAGTCCCTGTATAAAAGAATTTATTGAGTCAGAATCAGGTACACCATTACAGAATCGTAATTCTGCTCTCTCTATTCCAGGCTCCCTGACGGTGCTCCATAGAGTTTGCATCTACACAATTGCCTTTCCAAACACAAGTGGGAAATTCGTTCACCTATCTAATGCATTGTTACCATTTGCTCAATATTTGCTCCTAATTTCCTTTTTTTTTTTTTACAAGAGTGAAACAACAGATGCCATCCAGAAAACCTGAACAGTGCATCAGTGAGCAGCACTCATGACAGTTGGCATACATTTTGTTTTCCACGGACACATCTGCAAACCTATCTTATGTTTGGACTCCCTAAGCTACAAAGTAGTCACAAAAACAATTCTAACCTAATGTGCACAAAGATTCTCTCTCTGCCCAGTCAGTATGCACACTACAGGTACTAACCATTTCAGTTTCAAACTGAAATACCTTAATGTGCATACACAATATTTCCCCTTGTGTTGGCTATTACTATCCTTTCACCGAAATCCCTGAAACATGTATACAATGGTATGGTTAAATGCACTGCAATGTATTTCTTGGCCTAGGTCTAAAATGACTGAGTCTCAAGTATCAGTATTCTAATATTGCTTAAGAGTTGGAATAAGTACATCTCCATCTTTTCTCGGTACTGCAAATGATTTTAAAACACATTCCTTGGCATTTAAGATATATAGCAGTATGTACACATTGTTTTAATAGGTTATCAAATGTAAGTTTCATAATTTACAGATATTTGTATGGATCAACTCACACATGAAATAAAATCAAAGTGTTTATTAAAGCATTTTCTTGAGATATAGTTCATGATTAATTATTCTGGTATGTCTACAATACTACAGTTGTTCAACGGCCTTAACAAAAAGATGGGGAGGGGGCTTGTAGACCAGAATTTCTAAGGTAAAATAGGAAACAAGGATACAATAGTATTCAGTATTTGCCCATGGGCAGCAGTGTTCTGAGGTTCATTGGAGCATTACTGAAGCATAGTCTAAGAATTTAGAGGCATGGATAGACAAAGTACACTTTGGAATGTCTCTGACAGTTTTGTAGACATGTTTTCATTTGTCTCTCTGCAAACTGCTCTTTCTCCTCCCTGAATGTAACAAAGAAAGCAAGCAGCCTTCTCTCTCTGGCTCCCTAAGCCTACATATTCTGTCTGTGTTGAGCTCCTTTAACCATAAGTTATTACTATGCCAGTAAACCTGGAGCAGTCAAAACCAATAGAATTAAATTCTTTCTCTAATATAATTTTTCTGCTGTACACACAATTTGGAGGAACAACAAATAGGGTCAGCACATTCCATTAGCACCCCCTCCCTGGCCTGGGGAAAATGCAAAGTACATATGCATGTAGGCACCCAAATAGAAACTAACAACAGAACCAAATATGAAAGCCACTAAAATCCATGTTGTTGAACCCATGAGCTTTATTGGGATTAATTACAGGAATATGGAAGAGTGTTGTGAAATAATTAATTACACTGTATAAAGATGTGTCACTGATTGGTTTAATAAGAAGCTAAATGGCCAATAGCTAGGCAGGAAGAATAGGTGGGAGTTCTGGGAAAACAAAGGAACTAGGGATGAATCTACACATGGGCAGATGCCAGCAAGATGTAGAACAAGTTAGATACAGAACAACAACAAAAAAGGGTAAAAAGCAGTACGATGGCATATTGATTAAAAATAAGGGACAATTTAAGATACAAGAGCTTCTTAGCAAAATATGCTTATCGAGGAGCCATTTATAGGGTTAAAAGGGACTTAGAGGTAATTACCACCACAAAATGCCAACCTAGTGTGGGATGTAGATTACAAACACTGGACATCTGAAGATGCTGCTCACCTGCAGGCATACCCACAGGTTAAAGGATGCCCTGTCTTCGTGGCTCACATTTCTTGGAGCTTCATCTAAGCAGCATGATTGGTATATTTCTTCACGGGAGTTAAACACAGTGAATCCTGTCAGATTCATGTATTTCTTGATGCTATTGACTGGTTTCTGTCTTAATCAGATTCCCTTCAGGATGGATTGTTTTAGTCTCCAGGAAAGGCCTGCACATTCATCAGGTTTCTCCATTTTGTACTCATTATTAATTATTTGAAGTTGAAAAGGTATGTTTTAAAAAAACTCTTTTTCCACATTGCCACATTTTCAGAATTTTTCCTCAGTATGAAACTTTGATATTTTCTAATATTTGAACATTGCTTAAAGGGTTTTCGAGTTTTTCCTGTTCACAATGATTCTCTAATATGGAGCCTCTAGTGGTCCATAGGGACATAGCTTGGCTATAGAACATACCACATTATTTACTATTCTCCACAGTATGTATTTTTTTGTTTATTAGATATGAGTGAGGTAAAGTCACATGCAATACATTTGTAAAGTATCTCACCTTTATAAATTTCCTGATGGAGTCTAAGATATGAGTGGTAATAGATTTAGCATATTCACAACATTTATAAAATTTCTCCCCTGTATGAGAAATTTCTGAAGCAATCTAAGGTATGAGCCACTGGGAAAGATTTCTCACATGCACATTTATAAGGTTTCTCTCCTGTATGAATTATCAGATGTACTCTAAGATATGACTCACCGGTAAAAGATTTGTCACATTTATTGCATTTGTAGGGTTTTCCTCCTGTATAAACTCACTGAGGGGTTGGAAGTCTGCATTTCCATATAAAGCATTTGCCACATTCATTACATTTGTAGGTTTCTCTCCTGTATGAATTCTCTGGTGTTCTCTTAATTTGAATTTCAGACCAAAGCATTTGCCACATTCATTGCATTCATAAGTTTTCTCCCGAATATGAATTTTATGATGTATCTTTAGATGTTGTTTCTTGATAAAGGATATGCCACATTCACTACATCTGTAAGGTTTCTCGCCTCTATGGATTTTCTGGTGCAATCTAAGATAGGAACCAGTGGTAAAAGATTTCTGACATTCGCCACATTTGTATGGTTTCTCTCCTGTATGAAATTTCCGATGTATTCTAAGGTATGACCCACTGGCAAAGGATTTCTCACATTCACTGCATTTGTAAGGTTTCTCGCCTGTATGAATTCTCTGATGTAGCCGAAGAGATGAAGAACTGGTAAAGGATTTCTTACACTCACTGCATTTGTAAGGATTCTCTGCTGCATGAATTTTCTGATGGCTTCTTAGATCTGAACCAACTGAAAAGGATTTCTCACACTCACTACATTTATAGGGCTTCTCTCCTGTATGAATTGTCAGATGTCTTATCAGCTGTTGCTTCTGGTTAAAGCCTTTGCCACATTCACTACATTTGTAAGGTTTCTCAGTTGTATGAATGTTCTGATGCAATTGAAGAGATGAACTACTGGTAAAGGATTTCTCACATTCACTACATTTATAAGGTCTCTCACCTGTATGATTTGTCTGATGTCGCCTAAGTTGGTGTTTCTGAATAAAGGATTTGTCACATTCAGTGCATTTATAAGGTTTCTCACCTGTATGAATTCTCTTGTGCAATCGAAGTGCTGAACTACTGCTAAAGGATTTCTTACATTCACTGCATTTGTAAGGATTCTCTTCTGCATGAATTTTCTGATGGCTTCTAAGATCTGAACCAACTGAAAAGGATTTCTCACACTCACTACATTTATAAGGCTTCTCTCCTGTATGAGTTGTCTCATGTCTCTTCAGCTGCTGGTTCTGGAGAAAACCTTTGCCACATTCATTACATTTGTAAGGTCTCTCACCAGTATGAAATTTCTGATGCAATCGAAGAGATGAAGAACTGCTAAAGCATTTCTTACACTCACTGCATTTGTAAGGATTCTCTGCTGCATGAATTTTCTGATGGCTTCTAAGATCTGAACTAACGGAAAAGGATTTCTCACACTCACTACATTTATAAGGCTTCTCTCCTGTGTGAATTGTCAGATGTCTTCTCAGCTGTTGTTTCTGGATAAAGCCTTTGTCACATTCATTGCATTTGTAAGGTCTCTCACCTTTATGAATGTTCTGATGCAACTTAAGGTATGAACTACTGGTAAAGGATTTCTCACACTCACCACATTTATAAGGTTTCTCGCCTGTATGAATGCTCTGATGCAATCGAAGAGATGAATTACTTGTAAAGCTTTTGTCACATTCACTGCACTTGTATGGTTTCACACCTGCATGAATGTTCTGATGCAACCTAAGATATGTAGTACGGGCAAAGGCTTTCCCACATTCAGTGCATTTATAAGGCCTTTCACCGGTGTGAATTGTCTGATGTCTCCTAAGATGATCTTTCTGGGAAAAGGATTTGTCACATTCGCTACATCTGAAATTCTTCTCCCCTGTATGAAGTTTCTGATGGGTTATTAGGTGTGTCTTCTGGGTAAAGCATTTGCCACATTCCCTACATTTATAAGGTTTCTCCCCTGTATGAATTCTTTGATGTGTTTTAAGTTTAGCTTTCTGAATAAAGGATTTATCACATTCAATACATTTGTAAGGTTTCTCTCCTGTGGGAATCCTCTGATTTGTTTTACCAATTGAGGCAGTGGAAAGGGATTTATCACATTCACTAAATCTGTCAATTTTCTCTTCACTATGGCTTCTATCATGATATTCAAGATGTGACAATGTGTAGAAGTTACTACACTCCTTGTCTTCATGAGACCTCTCACCTCTATGAACTTTCTGATATTTTCCAAGATCTGAGCAATAAATGAAGGAGTTGCCATAATCAGTAAATTTGTAAGTTTTCTCTTCAGTGTGGCTTCTGTGAAATCTTTTATCTGCTGAATCAAAAAAGCACTTACTACTTTCAGTACAATTGTAGGATTTTTCTCCATAATGAATGTTATTACGTATTCTGTGTTGCAATAAATTCAGAACGAAACTGCTACAATGTGTCCGTTTATAAGGTTTCTCCTCTGTATGAGATCCTTTATGTCTACTGAGGATTGAGTGTATCTTAAGGCATTTTTCACATTTCTGGCATTGCTGTGATTTTTTTTCACTATGGATTCCTGTCAGTGTGAGTTCACGGTTATAGTTATCAGTCTCTGTGTTCTTGTGTTCTTCCTTTCCAATGCAGATTCCTAGATTTTGGCTAATGATGGAACAGAATCTTAAACAGCTTACACAGTCCTTATGTTTGCAGTGTTCTTCTCCCATGTTGCCACTTCTTTGTCTGGTTTGTAACTCCACAGCGGTATCTATTTGGTTTCCAAATTCAATCTTGCAGTTTTCTGCAATATCACTTCTGTCATAAGGTACATATTCAAAAGATTCATGGGTAACTTTGCTAAGCTCATCACATTTAAAAGGCTTCTCTTGGAGATTCACATAATCATGAACAATATTCTTTGTACCATGCTGAAGGTCCTTATATCCAGCACACATGTGATGGTTGTCTGGAAAATTAGCACAATTAAGGATTATAGAGTTTGATTCATGAATAACAGATTCAAAACCTGAAATTTCCCTAAGAGGGTTAAGTAATAATTCTTAGGAATAGAGCTTTGAGCAGATGCTTTTTGCACTTAACTATCATTATATGGAAGTTCAGAAGAACCTCCCCTCAAACGCAAGGATCACTATCAATATTCTCACCCTTATCTAAACCTTGTGAAAGGTCAGACAAATAAGTGATCTAGCAATAATGAACTCTGATAAAGGAATTCTCTGAAGGGTCACATGAAGATCTCCTCTTCTTGCGATGGTTTCTAAGACATAGTCACATTGGGTTGCCTTCTTTGCTTAGGAACTCTCTTTGCAACCTAGGCTGAAATGAAACTCACCAGTTTCTTCATCTTCCCTAAAGTGATGACTAAAACCATGCCAAGACATCTCAAACAATAAAGAAAAACAACACATGCTTACCACCAATATCTGTTTCTCTAATTTAAAACCTCTCTGTTTGAGGGCTCTAAGGGGGATGCTTGGATTTCCTTGGGCAGAGGAAAAAGAGTGGACACTGGTAGTGGAATGGAGGTGGATGAGAATAGGAACAGAAGAGATCAGGCTGTGGGGGAGAAAGGAGGGAGAGAATATGGGGAGAGAAAACTGCAATGGTATACGGGAATGTATGTTAGAGAGAGAGTGTGTGTGTGTGTCTGCACACGCACGCATGTGTGCATGGTGTATGTTAGAGTGTATGTGCGTGTGTGTGGTATATGTTAGAGTGTGCGTGTATGTACGTGTGTGTGCGTGGGTGTATGGTGTATGTTAGAGTGTGTGTGTTAGAATGTGTGTGTTAGAGTGAGTGTGTGTGTCAAGAGTATGTGCACACGTGTGTGTTAGTGTGTGTACGTGTGTGCATGTGTGTTAGAATGTGTGTGTGTGTTAGAATGTGTATGTTAGAGTGTGTGTGTGTGTAAACAGTGCAGCAGAAACTCCCAGGATTCTATAAGGATGACCCTAAAAAGAACTAGAAACGGGATTGTAAGTCTGAACTAGCCATCCTCTATAACCAGGTAAGGCTTTATGCTGAGACTGGAACACTAACCCAGGCACAAACTTCCACCTATAATCTAGCCCACCTGCAAGATGTGCTGGAGCAATAGAGGTACAGAATTGGTGACAGTGGCCAGACAATAACTGCAGTAACTGGTCTAATTTGAGGCACACACCATGAAAGGAGGCCCATGCCTAATATTGCCTGGATGACCAGGAACCTGAAGCTGGAGGGTCATGATACATATGATAGGGAAAAAAGTAAATAAAGTGATTCCTAATGATATTCTTATATCACCGCCTAGTCCAATTCTCATCAGAGGCTACCAGCTGCATCTGACAGTAATAGATGCAGAACCCACAGCCAAACATTAGGCAGAGAGTTCAAATTGGAAAGCAGTTCAAATTAGTGATCTCCATCAGGTCTGTCACCTTGGAGCTCAGCAACATCAAGGAATGAGAGAAAGAAGTGTGGGAGGCAGAGAGGATACCAGAAGAACATGATCCACAGACAACAACTAGGTAGAGCTCAGAGACTCACGGAGACTGCAGGCATCTATCTGTTCTAGGTCCTCTGCATATATGCTACAGTTGTTAGCTTGGTGCTTTTTTGGGACTTGTAACAGTGTGAGTGGAGACTTCTCTTGACTCTTCTGACTGCTTCAGGACCCTTTCCAACCAATGGTTGCTTCATCCAGCTTTAATGTGATAAATTGTGTCTAGCCATGTTTTTTTTTTTTTTTTTTTTTTGGTTTTTGTTTTTTCTGGTTTGTTTGATTTGTTTTCAAGATAGGGTTTCTCTGCACAGTCTTGGCTGTCCTGGAACTCACTCTGTCCACCAGCAGGCTGGTGTTAAGTTCAGAGATCTGCTGGTATGTACCTTTCGAGTATTGGGATTAAAGTGGTGTGCCATTACTGCCTTGCTATGTAATATATCTTGTTATGCTGTGTGAAGGCTTGTTCCTTTCTAAAAAGAAATGAAAGAGGAATAGATCTAGATGAGATGGGAGGCTGGAAGATATGAGAGGAGAGGTAGATAGGGGATTCTGGGACCAGGATGTATTGAAAAAAAACAAACCAACAAAAAAAAAAAAACTCAGAAACTGGAAAATAGCTTAATCCAATAGTAAATTCAAAACACTTTAATTACTCAATATATGGTAATATCTGTCCTTGTCCTAAATATTCAACTGTCTTTGTATTTTGAGGTTTACATTAAAAACAGGTAACAGGGCTGGAGAGGTCAGGCAATATATAGCACTGGTTGTTGTTCCAAGAACACAGAAAGTGTAAAGGAAAAGACATGAAAAGAGTATGTTGATAATCACCACTTCCCTTTTTTCTGGGAGTCTCTAGACAATTATACAAGTAGTTAAACACAAATGATAAATCAGGAAATCTACATGAAGAGCACTCTTACCTACAAAGACTAGATTGCTGTAATTCTCCAACATCACATCCATGTACAATGTCCTCTGAGACGAGTCCAGACATTCCCACTCCTCCTGGGACAGGTCCACAGCCACATCCTGGAATGTCAATAGACACTGAAAGGGAAAAGTACACATTCACCATAAGCTGCAGGACAAAATGCCTCTCTAGGTAAAAGACAACTATAAAATAAGAGATATTTTATGATACAGGTGAGGTATGAATATTGGTCAAACACAAGTTTTCTACATACGCTACAGAGAGGCACAGCAGTTAAGAGCACTTGCTGCTCTTCTAGAGGACCACAGTTTGGCTCACAGCACCCAGATGGCACTATTCCAGTTCTATGGTATCCAATGCTCTCTTCTAAATTCTATAGGCAGGAGACTCAGATAGCACTCACACAGTAAGATAAAACTGAAAGTTAATTTTAATAAAAGGCACTTTCCAGAATACCAATAATCTATATTGTATTTCCTATCTTTGTGAAAACACGATGCCGTAATAGTATCATAATCAGCAAAGTTGTAAGGAAACATTAAGATACACACTTAAGGTCTAATGTACCTTTACAAAGGCTGCCTTGAAATCAAAGATCTCACAAGCACAAGTTAGGATGAACAAAATTATGCTCCCAAATACTACAATGCTCAACCTTGCTCAAATGCATATGCTGTACCAATCGTCATTACAGCTGGGCCATACACGACTCTATTCTAACATTCTCACTTTAGATCCATAGCTTTCTAGAACATGCTTTCTAGAACAAAGAGACAGAATATGGAATGGAGAATTCATGTATGAATTAAAAGTGAGAGATTTTTCTTTAAATAGTGAAGAATGTAACATCAGTGCATACATCCAACATACAAAACAACTCATAGACTCAACTATTTTATGAAGGTTTTTATGAAAGTATTTACAGGCATAAAATAGAAATGTCAGCCTTAGATAGTGTTAATATTATCTAAATTTTTATAAAAGTAGAAAATAGGTGAATAACAATTTTAGAAATTAGATATGAGGTTTCACTACAGAATGAGAAAAATATTTACAAATAAACATTGAATGTGACAATGCATTCAGAAAAGGTATAAAGATATTCTGTGTTCTGTCTCTCTTTTGCTCCTGCCTACTGATTCAGATGTAGAACCCTTGGCTACTCCTCCACTACCATGTCTGCCTTCTTAACACCATGCTTCCTGCCAGACAATAAAGGACAAAATCTTGGAACCTATATGCCAGTCCCAATTAAACGTTTTCCATTATAAGAGATGCTGTGGTCATTGTCTCCTCACAGCAATAGAAACCCTAAAGCAGATGACATTACCAGAGGATGAAAAACAAAAGCTCACATGTTTTCAATTATAAAAACAAATTTCAAAGAAATGCAGACATGACACTGACCTGGGGTGCATTTACAGGAAAATCATCCATTCTTCCTGTTGCTCTTCTCTCAGTTTCTGTCTCAGGAACAAACACCAGAACTCTTCTTGACATTTTATATCAAAGTATCAGAAATACAAAGCTAACATTAATACAATGTTACAGACATTGCCAAAACACATAAGAACACCAAAACCCAAATTGATACTAAAGGTCTTCTCAACATTCCTACAGACAGGAGGCTTGGAAGGGTATATTTTCTGTGGTGAAAGAAAATAAGTATTAACATTATCACTGCACCCAGAAACATGGGCTCTTAAAGTAGATGGTGAAGGAAGTTTCATTTGAAGAAAGTTTGAAATAACAGAAGACATGTATTCAAGCAGCACTGCAGTTCATAACCAGAGGCAAAGTATACATAGGAACCTCAGAGAGAACCTATGAAGGAAAACACAGGAAATAAGACAGTCTACAGAAAGAATAGATAAATTAAGGAGAGCTGAGGTATAGTGATCATGTCCAAATTACAAACACAGTAAACCACTATTTCAATCTGGAAGGAAATATACTACCAGTCAGCAACCACTCAGGTTACTAAGACAAACAAAAACAAATAGTTTAAAAAAGTCCCTGTGACATGAAAATCTCAGAAGAAATAGAACTGGCATAAAGACAAATGTTCTACAAGATTTTATGATGAACTCCTAAAGGAACTTGGAGGAAATGGAACATGGTCAACACAGTTAAAGGCCAATAGTACAATGCAAGCAAAAAAATTAAGAGAATTAGCAGGAAAACTGTAAGGAGAGGAAAATGCTTGTGCTCTCCAGTCTTAATGAATCAAGAGATGTTAAGAGTGGGTTAGAGAAATCTGAATAAGATAAAAGATAAACAGGAGAGTCAGGTAGGAAAGTAAGATTTCAAACTCCATTTTAATGATGATGAAATCATACACATAATGCCTCATAGATACTAAGGCTGTCCATTCTCTCCACACTAATTCAACACAATGCATCCAAGGAAGGGAAAGAGAAAATTCTCAATGCTTCAAATAAAGAAAGGCAAGTTTTCCCAAGTTACAATTAATGTAATTCTGAAATTCCAAATCATTCACATTCTAAGGGAAGCTTCAGATCTGAAAATAGTCTTAGTAAACTATATAAAATTCACAAACAGTATCGATTTTTTTTTTTTGTTTTGTTCTGTTATTTTATATTCTAATAGAAGATGCCAAGAAACCAGCAAACAACTTAGTGTCTAAAAATGTCTTGAAATCCTGAGATTTTTATGTGGTAATATATGGGTTTTGCCATCTCAGGATATGCATTCAGCAGTCTCTGAATAAGTGTTTCCTGATGCAAATGAAGTTCCTTGGTCCTATCTGAAAGCTCACACCAAGCTATGGTGTGAACAGAAAGAACCATGAAAAGGCAGTTGCATTGTTTTTACATGTTGTAAAATGTCAGTATATTCTCTCCTAGGGCCTGTAACCTTTCCATTCATTGTCTCAGGGCCAGTTTCCATAAGTCTGTGTATTTCCATTGTGAAACTGGCCTCAGATCACAGCAGAAAGCCTTCTATTACCCATAGAATAGTCTTTGTAGTTTTATACTGATGGGCATAATGTGCAAAGTACTGGCAAGTTTACTTTGCAGTACACAGTGTCTGTCTGGGGACAGCCATTGATGATCTTCTCTCCCTGCAGTTTGCAGAGCACTTTTAGCAGTTTGAGTGTCCCACCTACACCAACTGGAGGAAAAGAAACCCCTGAATCACAGGCCCCCACCTTGCCCACTGTAGGAAGAAATATGTGGACAATAGTGTAAGAACACATTCAACAAAATGAAGAGCAATATGACACCACCAGAGACTAGGTGTTCTACATCACGGAGACCTGAACATCCCAATACAATTGAAGCAGAAGAAAATGACCTTAAAAAATAACTTTATGACAATGATAGAGGCCCTTAAGTAGGAAATGAGAAACTCTCTTAAAGAAATTCAAGAAGTCAGGCAGTGGGGAAGCACACCTTTATTTAATTCCCAGCACTTGTGAGACAGAGGCAGGTGATCTCTGTGAGTTCGAGGCCAGCCTGATCTACAAACTGAGTTCCAGGACAGGCTCCAAAGCTACACTGAGAAACCTTGTCTTGAAGAAAAAAAAAAGACAAAAAATGGGGGAAAAGACAAACCAAAAAATGCAAGAAATCAACAAATCTCTTAAGGAAAGCCAAGAAAAAAAAAAATTAAAAAGGTGAAGGAAACAATTCAAATAGTCCAAGACTTGAAAACTGAAATAGAGGCAAAAAGAAAACACAGACTGAGGGAATGCCAGAAATAGAAAATCTAGGTAAACAATTAGGAACTATAGATGCAAGCATAACTGACAGAATACAAGAGATGGAAGAGAGAATCTCAGGTGATGAAGATATACCAGAGGAAATAGATTCATCAACCAAAGAAAATCTTAAGTCCAACAAATCCTTAACACAAAATAAATATGGGACACTGTGAAAAAAAACCAAACCTAAGAAAAATAGTTACAGCAGAAGGTGAAGAAGCCCAGTTCAAAGGCACAGGAATCATATTCAACAAAATCATAGAAGAAAACTTTCCCAACCTAAAGAAGGACATGAAAGTACAAGAAGCTTACATAACACCAAATAGACTGAACCACAAAAAAAATTTCCCCTCACCACATAATAATCAAAACACCTAACATACAGAATAAAGAAAGAATAATAAGCAAGGAAAACGTCCAAGTATATAAAGGCATATAAAGGCAAACCTATCAGAATTACACCTGACTTCTCCATGGGAACTCTGAAAGCCAGAAGTCATGGATAGATGTTCTAAAGACACCACAGATACCAGCCCAGACTACTTTACCCAGCAAAGATTTCAATCGCTATAGATGAAGAAAAAAAGACATTCCATGAGAAAACCAGATTTAAACAATACATATCCACAAGTCCAGCCATACAGAAAGTACTGGATGTAAAACTCCAACCCCAGGGAGTTAGCTACACTCACAAAAACAGATAAATTTATAAACAATAAATAATCCCATATTACCTAAAGCCAAAAAAAGGGAAACACACACAATACCACTCCAAAAATAATAGGAATCAACAATCAATGGTAATTAATATCTTAGTATCAACGATCTCAGTTCACTTACAAAAAACAAAACAAAACAAAAAACAGGTTAACAGAATGAATACAAAGACAGAATCCATCCTTCTGCTGCATACAAGAAACACACCTCAACTTCAAAGACAGACATTCCTTCAGACTAAAGGGTTGAGATAAGATTTTCTAATTAAATGGACCTAAGAAACAAGCTGGTGTAGCTATCCTAATATCTAACAAATTAGACTTCAAACTAAAACTAATCAAAAGAGATGAAAAAGGTCATTTCATTTTATTCATCACAGGGAAAAATACATCAAGATGAAGTCTCAATTCTGAACATACATGCCTCAAGACAAAGGCACCCACATTTGTAAAAGAAACATTACTAAAACTTAAATCATACATAAAACATCACACACTTACAGTGGGAATCATCAACACGCCACTCTCACCACTGCACAGAACTACCAGATAGAAACTTAACAAAGAAAAAAAGGAACTAACAGAAATAATGACTCAATTGGGTTTAACAGTCATCTATAGAACATTCCATCCAAACACAAAAGAAAATACCTTATTCTCAGCACCCCATGGAACCTTCTCTAAAACTGACCACAAACTTGCCAACAAAGCAAGCCTCAAAAGATACAAAAAGGAAAAAAAAAAAACTGGAATAACCCCCTGTATCTTATTGGATCACCATGGTTTAAAGTTAGAATTCAACAAGAACACTAATTGCAAAAAAGCCTACAAACTCATGGAAATTGAACAATGATCAATTACATCACTCTTGGGTCAAAAAGAAATAAAGAAATCAAAGACTTCCTAGAATTCAATGAAAACGAATGCACAACATACCCAAATTTATGAAACTTAGCACTTTGAAAGAAGTGTTAAGAGGAAGGCTCACAGCACTAGGTGCCTACATAAAGAAACTAGAAAATAGTCAAACTAGTGACTTAACTGCACACCTGAAAGCTCTAGAATAAAAAGAAGCCAACTCACCTAGGAGTAGACACCAGGGAATAATTAAATTGAGGGCTAAAATCATAAAGTAGAAACAAAACAATACAAAGAATCAATGAAACCAAAAGTTGGTTCTTCTAGAAAAAAACAAGATAGGCAAACCTTTATCTAAACTAACCAAAAAGCAGAGAGAAAACATGCAAATTAACAAAATCAGAAATGGAAAGAGGGACATCCAGAGAATCATCAGGTCATATTTTGAAAACCTGTTTTCCACAAAATTGGAATATTTAAAGGAAATGAACAATTTTCTGGAGAGATATCACATACCAAAATTAAATCAAGAACAGATAAGCAATTTGAATAAACCTATAACTCCTAACAAAATAGAAGCAATCATCAAAAGTCTCCCAACAACAAAGACCACAGTCAGTTGGTTTCAATACAGAATTCTGCCAGAAATTAACAGAAGAGCTACTACCAATACTCCTCAAATTGTTCCACACAATAGATACAGAAAGATCATTGCCAAACTCTTTACAAGGCAACCATTACCTTGGTGCCCAAACCTGATCCCATGGCAGCTGTGCCTCATGCACAAAACCTGCACAATATTAATGCATCTGAAATCCCAGCATGAGTTGTAGAAGAAATCATCATCTGAGATGTTAGGCAATTCATACATTAAATATGGGGGGGGGGGGAATGAATGGAAAGAAAATGTGGCTAACCAGGAATGGGACACAGGGTGATGAGGGTGTAATAGTGGGAAAAAAAAGATGCAATTATTAAATATCAATATTCACTAATTATGAAAAAAGCCTATAAATAGAACTCAAGAGGAACTACCACTGCCTAGTTGAAGCAGAATCTTTTTATCATCTATACAGCCAACCAATTAAAAAGGGTTTTTATGAGCTATTATTGTTTCTATTTATTTAATTAAAGCTCAACAGAAAAAATAGTAATATTTTTTAATTTTTAAAAAAAATTAATTTAAAAAGAGAGACCTCTAAAATGGAAACTGAGCTCACTGAAGGAAGTGGGGATGATACTGGAAGATGGAAAACCTTTCGCGCACATGATATAAAAACATACTATTATAAAAACCAGTGTTAAATGATATATATAGTTAATTCAAAATCCATGACAATCATCTCCCCATTTTAAACTTCAAAGATACATTAAAGAGAATCCTACAAATGTACATGGAAGCACTTAGACTGTGTGAGTGCATAGCAAGCCTAGGCACATAGAGAAGAGCTTGTCATCACACCCGTGATGATGGCACAGAGCCACACAAACAACTGTACCATGGGAGTGGCAGAAGGCACCCAAAGCTATAGGAGCAGCAGATGCAGAATGAACACAAGGAGCTGTGACCATGTGAATTTCACCAAAACACTTAAAAAATGTGTTACAGAATAGGAAACCTCATCAATTAATGATGTCAGGAAAAGTAACCATCCACGTGTAAAATAATAAAACTGAGACCAATTCAATGAATTGTGAAACCAGGAGAGTCACACAGGAGGAAGTGCATCCATATATAGACACAGGGACCTAGTTTCTAAATGGAACTTCAAATTATAAAGATTTGGTATAAAGGAAACGGTAATAACTAAAAGTATCAAGCAACAGGCTACAGGATGTATATATTATTAACAAACTTTTCATAGTATGATACAAAAATATCCAGAATATACCAAAAGAAGGAAAAATATCACAAAGCAAATAAATAGTATTGTAATCAATAATAAGCAAATGAACTGAACATACCAAGCTCAAAAGCAATTAAAGCATCCCAAATGTACACAGTACATGCTCCACACATTTAATCACACACACACACACACACACACACACACACACACACACACACACACACACACAATACTCATCTAATATTACACTGAAATCGCCTCTCTGCCTGGTCAATGTCAACACTCAAGGTTCTCAACAATAACAAACATTGAAGACAATGCGGAAGGAAAAACATGGAGACACTGTGCAGCTTCTTGGACAACCGAACAAGAAAAAAGAAAACATAGAGAAGATGATAAAGTTTTTTGAGGAACTGAACATGCGGCAGAATAAAACAATAGAGAAAGCAATGCAGACAGAAGAAAAGAGACTTAAGAAATAGACAAAACCTAACAAAATGGTATGAGTTTATATTTTCTTTAAGTGACTTCTTGAAATGTATAAAGATAGTGCTCCCTAAGCCAAACTACTATGCAAATAGACAACTTCAAAAAAGGACAGTCAAATATATATGTATATATACATATATATTCCAACACAAGTATTTACTTCAAAAGTAAGGATACAAAGTGCAAAGAAAGAAAAAATACTTTTTTTAAAAGGTCTGCTGTGAAGAGGGTCGGTCATAATTATGGTGGGAGGCAAGTTGAAAAAGTCAAATCTATCAACACACAGAACAAAGAGTATTAACAAATGGTCAAATGGTTCATTTTCCAGAAAGCTTTATGATCAATATCAATATGAATGTATTTCACAAAATAGCTCCCAAATACATGAAGCAGCCAATAACAAAACTGTAGGAAGAAATAGACAAGTGATGTATGGAAGCTTCAATGTCTACCACTGAGAAAGACGAAAAGCACAGAAAACCATTAATGTCTAGCTGGCTTGCAGAGAATCACCCACACAAGAGCAGAAGTCTCCCAGTTTTCTCAGTCTTCCAGTAGCATGGTCCAGTATGCACATGTCAGAAAAAGTCAACATGGCCTGGCGGTGCAAGCCTTTAATCCCAGCACTCAGAAGCTGGGGTGGGTAGATCTCTGAATTCAAGACAAGTCTGGTCCACTCAAGAGTTCCAGAATAGCCAGGACTACATGGAAAGTACCTCAAAACCTAAAAAACAAAAAAAAAAAAAAAAACCAAAAAAAAAAAAAAAAAAAGGAAAAAAAAAAAACCAAAACCCAAGTAAAGACCAATGTTTAAGAAATGTCTTTTCCTCATCTCAGAATGCTGACATTAACAGAAGGCAGAATCCACAATGACTACTGAATAAGATATATATGTGTGTGTGTATATATATATATATATATATATATATATTATATTATATTACAATAAGTAATAATATGTGTTTAACATAATTATATTTACTTTATAAACATATTTAATGTTTAATATCTAGCTATATTTTAAATATATAATAATATGATTCATATAATACATGTGAATGTTAACTCACTGCTACCATGTTCACATTCAAACAAGTGAAGAAACATAAAACGATGTTTCTAAGATTCTAAATAGCAAAATCCTACAGGGATTTCTTAAATATAGAGAGAAATATGTTCCTAAAATTTGAAAATGAGAAATCACAAAGAATTTAAAAAGTATTCGACAAAGATCAAACCCAGAGGTGATTTGAAAATATATTAAAACTATAGTAATACAAAATATTAAGAGTTTATGTGAAGACAGAAGATGGGAAATCAAAGGGAAGACAGTGTAGATGGAGTTTCATATTCCACATAGATATTAAGCAAATCTTATCAAAATCCTGCTGGTACTAATTTAGAAAATAAAGAAATTAACCATAAAAAATAGAGAATCTGAAAAAAGTATAAAATGTCGCAAGTTCTTTTTTTCATTTTTTTCAAGATAGGGTTTGTCTGTAAAATCGCCCTGGCTGTCCTGGAAGAGAAAATGTAGACAAGGCTGGCCTGAAACTCACAAAGATCCTCATTGGTCTGCCTCCCTGAGTGCTGGGATTAAAAGCATGCACTACCACCACCTGACCAAAATGTTCCAAATTTCAGGAGCAGAAAAATCCCAAAAGGCATAACTAAACATAGTATTAAAATTATGATAATTAAAGCATTTCATATTGATAAGACATAATCAGTGATATGAATGGAAGAGTAACAGCATCACTCACATGAAAAACCAAATTAAATTATACTTGCCTCTGAATATTAATTCTTACATAGTGAGTCCTCTAATACCTACAATAGGAATATTCGGAGATAATTCGCAGTGGAATTTTTTAGAATCGTTTTAAATGAAAGAGAATGAGGTGAAACCAATTTCATGCCCTGTTTCTACTGTCACTTTAACCCTCCCTACACCTTCCTCAGTCCCTCTTACATACCTGGGTCCTTTCTCTCCTCTCTCTTCACCATCCAGGGCTGTTTGTTCTCCTTCACAGGTGACCAGGACTGACTGAGCAATGTGAGACTGCATAGGAGAAAATGATTCTCCAGAAATCACCTGGAACTTTTCATGAAACAAAAACTAAAGAGGCTAATACCTGTGAAAAGGATAAACATGATGGAGAGAGAAAATATCAGGAAAAATGTCTGTCTCTGAGGAATTCACTTTACTGTGAGATGTGAGACTCATTCACACACAGCTCACACACAAGCACAGCAGTTTTCCCAGGAACCCTGAGGAGGGGCAAGGGAGACTACAAGAAAACACCTCACCCTTAGAATCCAGACTGCTGCAGTTCTCCAATAGGAGATCTATGCAAAAAGCTCTTGGAGTAAGACCTAGGCATCCCTGTTCCTCCTACAAGAAGTCCACAGTCACAGCTCTGAATGTCAACAACCCATGAAATAAAATACCATAGTCTGGCCACATGTGCATGGGCAGAGAGTTTTTCTTCTACAAAGGAGGTATTTTCTGATACAAGAGAATGGCTTTATAATTCCGTTTTCATCTATAGTGAGTTTGCCAACTTTAACATATTGTGGCCTGTTAACCTAGAGACAGGAGAGAAGCCCTAGCCCCTACTTCACATGACCTGTCAGATCTACAAGACCCCAACTGGATGGCATTCCCCTACATATGGAATTGGGGTGGGGGATGGGAGGGGAGGGTGGTTAGGGTGCATGTGAGAGGGCAGAGAGGGGAAGGGAGGGAGGAAGAGAGAGGGAACTGGGATCATGTTAAATTAAATTAAAAAAAATGCTTTGACTCCAAAATTTAAGTTCAAGGACAAGTTACTGGGGAAAGGGATTTCTATTTTTGTTTCCACAGAAAATGAAAAGCTGTGGATTCCTTCCAGACTAATGTGGTTTGATCAAGCCAGACAGCCTGAAACAGAGTACCATGTGATCCTACATTCAAAACAGCTGGACAAAGCAGCCTTGCAGACTACAGCCAGGATTTCTGCAACTTAGAATCCCCCATGACAGTGCCCCTTACTAGCAGGAAGTAGTTTGGAACTGGGATTGACATGTAAAATAATAAATTAAATTTAAAAAAAAAAAAATGCTTTGACTCCAAAGTTTAAGCTCAAGGACAAGTTACTGTGGAAAGGGATTTCTATTTTTGTTTCCACAGAAAATGAAAAGCAGTGGATTCCTTCCAGACTAATGTGGTTTGATCAAGCCAGACCGCCTGAAACAGAGCCTGAAACAGAGTACCACGTGATCCTACATTCAAAACAGCTGGACAAAGCAGCCTTGCAGACTACAGCCAGGATTTCTGCAACTTAGAATCCCCCATGACAGTGCCCCTTACCAGCAGGAAGTAGTTTGGAACTGGGATCGACATGTAAAATAATAAATTAAATTTTTAAAAAAATGCTTCGACTCCAAAGTTTAAGTTCAAGGACAAGTTACTGGGGAAAGGGATTTCTATTTTTGTTTCCACAGAAAATGAAAAGCTGTGGATTCCTTCCAGACTAATGTGGTTTGATCAAGCCAGACAGCCTGAAACAGAGCAGACAGCCTGAAACAGAGTACCACGTGATCCTACATTCAAAACAGCTGGACAAAGCAGCCTTGCAGACTACAGCCAGGATTTCTGCATCTTCTTAGAATCCCCCATGACAGCGCCCCTTACCAGCAGGAAGTAGTTTGGAAAGAACGACGCCCAAATTCCCAAAGATTGTCTATAAATGTTTGTTTTCATTTAAATGGACTTGGTTATAAAAAAAAAAAAAAAACATTGTGGCTTGATATACTCTCACAACATGTGCACTGCACTCGCCTGGATCTAAGACGTAACATGAGAAAACAGCATATTAAGACACATACCAATGCCGCATTTACAACCTAGATTGCATATATCTCGGTTAATTAGTGGGCAGTAAAAACTTTGTTTAGTAAATGTTAATGTTTTTCGGCATAACTGGAGCGCTCTCATTAAGTATTTTTTTCTATTTCAATCAAATCTGCACTGGTTCCCCGTGTGGTTACTATCTACAAACCCCTGTGGGAATGCCTGCTCCTCAGGGCGAAAGGGGCAAGGGGTGAAACCGGAGTTAGAAAGCGTGATCTGGAACTGCCACAATAGCAAAGAAATCCTTGTTTGCAAACAGCAGACAATGCAAATGCTCTAATGGGCTACTTTATGATTATTTTATGACAGGATTCTGGGAATAGTAAGATGGGTGGGGAAAAAAAAAATCACGGTAAAACTCGGCTCATAAGATCTCAGACTTACTGACAACGCAAAGATATCCACGACAGAATTTTGTCCTTCTGAGCAGCCTGAGTGAGCACAGCCCGGTCCCCTCCCTCCTGGGTCCCAGCCCCGCAGATCCTCTCACCTGGGAGGTTCCAGGGCCGCCGGGCTGCGGTTCCCGCCACTGCGCTGCTGACTGTGACTTTCCCAGGCCGCACGCGCGGAGACTGCGGCTCCGGAGTTTTCAGGTCCCCGCGGCACCCGCCGTGCCCTCCGCACGCGGATCCCAGAATCCAACGGGGAAAGGAGGAATTTCCTGTCCTTTCGGGCTGTATAGCTGCTCCTCCTGGCCCCGCCCGCTATACACCGCTTCCGGTTACGTATTTCCTCGAAACCCGCCGTTCGCGGCCTTTTTTCCAAAGTCCACCCTGCTGTTTCCCCACCCAGCCACCCCCACCCCATAAACTCTTATTGACAAATGTCCCCGCTCCACTGAGACCCGTCCCTCCCACACAGCTGCAGCTGTCAGGCTGACCCGGACCCGCTCTGCTCTGCACAGACTCCACACACGCTTGCTGCCAGCCTAGACCAGAGCTGCATCAAGGAGGACGCTGCAACCCGGATCTGACCCCCACCCTGGGTTCTGAAACCTTGGGATATTAATTATCCTGTGTCGCGACCAAGAAGGCAGATGCACGTAGTTAGTATAACTAAGATTGTATTTTATTATGCTGAGGGTCTTCTTCACACTAGGTTCACACTCAAGGCTGCTCTGCTCACCTGTGGACATCTCTTAGCTGAAGGTCAGGTCCAGTCTCTAACAGAAGTGCCTGATTCGAGGGAGGATCCTAGAGTGACTCTCCTGATCCTGGGCAAATCAAGGTGGCCTCTCTCCAGATGGGCAGAGCAGAGCTTTACTCTTGATCTCTGCTTAAATGCCGTCCAGTGGATGTCTTGGAGTCTAGGACTGTGTCTGTTTATCTTGAGTGAGTGATGCCACTTACTTCTGATTGTCATGTCCAGCCTTGGGATGTAGTGGAGGTCTTGACTAAGCTATTTTTACATGTCTAAAAGGTTTTTTTTTTTTTTTTTTTCTTTTCTATGCTTATTGCATCCTGCCTAACCTCATCTTGGAATATCAGACTCCTGAGTAAAAAATACACAGCAAAAGACAACAAACACCCTAAATTCTGAAGCCATGTCCCATTACCCAACAAATTAAACACCTTTGGCTCAAAGCACAAACCATATCTGTATGCACTAAGGAGAGAAATTTGAATGATGCCCAGTATACAGAACTCGAAGACCAGACTCAGTGTTCAAGATGATCAAACATGTAAAGTACACGATGTCATTCTCCAGACTCCACACAACTCATAATGAGTAAATCAGAGCACTCAAGACCAACCCCAGCCTCAATCAGTTTAGGAACTGGAGATGTTCACAGGGTCCATTCTTTACCTATCAACTGTGACCATGGATAGACTTAGGAGAAGGGGAATCACTGCCATGTCATAAGTTGTGTCTTTTCTGATGAGGCCAATAGCTCCAACACATAGCTCCAAAGCCACTATTTCACAGATGACCATGGCCCATCATGGTGGACCAATGAACAAAATTACTAGAAATGAACATGAGAGTGTGTTAAGCAGTGAAGGAGACAGAGAGAGAGAGAGAGAGAGAGAGAGAGAGAGAGAGAGAGAGAGGCAGAGAAGAGGGCCAGCATTGTAGGGAGTAAGAGATTGGAGGGTGCACTAAGCAAGGTCTAACATGTGAATTGAATTGGCAAAAAGATAACAATAAAAGTTAAGAATTTTCATTTTGCCTCTGTATCTGGTTTGATTTCAGGTACTGCTAAGTTCATAAAGAATCTGAAAGTCTTGCACTCATTTTACATCAAGGAATACATTAAATAGCTCTGAAATTCTGACATAATTCTGTGACTTGTCACAGTTTCTAGGCTTTCCTTTTTAGTCAGGGTACTCCTGTGTCAGGTTTTTTTTGTTTGTTTGTTTGTTTTATCTTTGTTTTGTTTTTTGCTGCTGCTTCGCTTCTAAATCTCTTAGTTCATGTTTGTGCAATTGTGGTGTGTGGTATTCATGAGGTATTTGATCATTTCTTTTAGAGTTCCTAATTTAGTGTGGTGAGGTCTTTAGGGTCAGTAGGTATCAGCTATGTTTGTACATTTGTGTCTACTGATTAGGCAATGCAGTTAACTTGGGTACTTCTCAAGTCATGTTGATCGAAAACCCTGTGTACACAGCTATCAGGGAGATGCTGAGTAAATCTCCTTTAAGATTACATCTCACCCCAGCCAAAATGACCATCACCAGTATTTATAACAAATTCTGAGATGAATGTGAGGAAAGAGACACTGTTGCACTCTGCTTGGGAGTATAAATTAGAGAAGCCACTTTGGAAAGGAGTCTATACATTTCTCAGAAACACTAGAAATAGAACTACTCTATATACTGTACTGTTTAGCCATTCATCCATAGATGCTCTTCTGATTATTGCCTGTAATTCTCTGTGTACACCCAAGCCGACCTGCATAGGCTGAGAAAAAGAAACTCCAGAATTACTCAAGTTCCTTTAGTAATTGTAGCTAAGAAATGGATTTGTCATGATTATAATGAGGATCGTGTTTCTCTGGAATGTTCTGAGGTTTAATCTGTGCTGAAATGATCACGACAGGCATCCCAGCTCTGCAGGGAGGTGAGCACTCACCAACAGAAATGCAGAGCTTGGGTTCTGTCCTTAAACCACAGGGTTCTGAGCCTGTGGGCACCTTCCACATGACAGGACTGCTTCTTTCAAGTTCTACTGTTTGTGTCTACATGGAAAAACAATGACATCACCAGGTAATTCTAGATGCATGCATGGATTGAACATGTTAGTGATTTACTCCATGTCACAAATAATCCTAGCTAAGGCAAGAAAAGAAGTAAAAGCCTTTTCCCCTTGGAGTTGTTTAAGTAAGAACAATTCCAGGTTTGAATTCTCTGCTTGAAATTTCCTGTCCTTTCCATCCCCTTTTTCTCTGTTCCATGAGTTTGAATCTGTGTTTGCCTGAATGCTGTTTTGGGAATCTATCTCTGTGTGTCTGTGTGCTGTCTCTCTTTATCTCTCTGTCTGTGTGTTCTGTACTTATCTATCTGTCCATGACAAAGTGTTTTTCTCAGATTTATTGAATAGCATAAAAAGTATCATGTGGGGTAGGTACGAGAAATCCTTAATAGAAATTAAATTCTCTGGAATTGGAATAACAAATGGTTACAAGCCAACACATGAGTGCTATGATCTGACTTCCCGTCCTCTGCAAGAGCATAAAGTGTTCTTTGTTGTTGAGCCACCCCATCCCTCCAGCCCCCAGATAACATTTTCAAGAAAAGGAGTTTCAAAGGTTTTCACAATCTTGCTGGGCAGAGGTGGCACATGCCTTTAATCCCAGCAGCCTGCAGGTAGAGGGGCAGGCGGATCTCTGTGAGTTCAAGGCCAGCCTCGACTCTGGAGCAAGTTCTAGGACAGGCTCCAAAGAAAGCTACACAGAGAAACCCTGTCTCAAAAAAGAAAAACAAAAAAACAAAAAAAAAAAACAAAAAAAAAAAAAAAAGGTTGCGGTTAAATAAGGATCAGGATAAACAAATAGGCCGAATAGATGTTTATTCAGGGAGAAATAACTTACAACCTAGACAGGTGAACACCTGGGAATTCCACCCAATGCTCTCCTGAACGAGTCCTGCCAACAAGAGAGCTTTTTCTAGCTCTCTCTCCAACCTCCTTCCACAGGTCACTTCCGCCCATGGTTCCACCCCCAATGGGCGTGGTCAGTGCCACAGAAGGACTATCTCACTATAAAAGGTTTTCATAGCCTCAATATATGACATTCCCAGAAAAAAATAGACATTACATTGAGAACAGAGAAGCAGCCATTTCTCCCTGAGCTCTGCTCTTTTGAGACTGTGCCCCAGAAAAAAAATGACTGGACCTCATCTTGCACTTTCAAATCAAAGTTTCAAACAAGTAATAGAATCAAATATTTTGTAAAGTTATTTAATAGGAAGATTTTCATAATAATGAAAATAAAAAGCAAACAGAAAAATCAGCCTTTGATAGCATTAATATTATCTAAATTTTTCTAAGATCAGACACAACCAATATTGATGAATAATGATTTTAAAATTCCATGTGTGGTTACAATACAGAATGAAGATAATAATATTTATAAGTGAATGGAATATACATCAGCGTGTTCAGATGAAACATAAAGATCTGTGGTTGAAATGAATGTATTAACTCTATGAGAATTATACTCCTTTCTAATTTTGAATAGATTAGATCAATTGAAAATTTGAATCTTCCCATTTCAACTCTTTAGTATTTGATCCCAATCTTCTAACAGGATTTTAGATTGCATAGATATAAGTATTATTTGACTTTTCCTTCATTTGAAAAAATAGGTTAGTTACTGGATCCATAAGTAATATGCACCACAAACGTAAACCTGGAGACTGGAAAGATAGCTGTGTAGAAAGGATATTTAATGTTTCTACAAGGAAACAGCTTCATTCTCTCTTACTCACAAGGCAGCTCAATACAGTACCTGACTCTAGTGCCAAAAGTTTAGTAACAACTTTAGGGCTTCAGGGGCATCATGTGGGTGAATGTAGCACAGAAAAACATGCAGATGAACACTGACATACTTAAATAAAACTATTATTTTAAAGAAATGGAAACCTGTCCATTGTAATAATTGTTCAGAATCTCAACATACATCATTCATAGCTTCAAGAAAAGGAAAAACACAGGAGAGCCCTCAGTCACCAATTATTTTTTGTTTTGGTATTCTCATTTTTAAGGGACATTATGAAACTCATTGATTTTAAAAGATAGCTCTCTACTTTTCCTCACCTTTTATTAAAAAGATTCTTTTATCACACAATATATCCTGATTACAGTTTCCCCTCCCTCTACTCCTTCTAGTTCCTTCTTCCCACCTGCCTCCCCTCCCTTCTGGGTTCACTTTATGTCTTTCATTAGAAAAGAACAGCTTGTAAGAGGTAACAACAAAACACAACAAAATAAAATATAAAAAGCTAAAATAAAAACTTCACAATGGCGTTGGTCAAGGCAGATCAATAAAAGTAAGAGTCCCAGGGATAGGCACAAGAATCAGAGTCCCACTCACCCACACACTTAGGAATCCCATAAAATTATTAAACTAGAAGTTGTAATCCCTGTTGGCCTGTGTGGGACCTATGCTTGCTGTTTCAATCTCTGTGACTTCATGTGATCTTTGCCTAGTTGTTCTCTTGGTATATACCATCCCCTCTGACTCTTACACTTTGTTTTCATCCTCTTCTGTGGGGTTCCCTGAGCTCTGAGGGGTGGTATTTGATAGAGGCATCCAATTTAGAGCTGTGTGTTCCAAAGTTTCTCTGTGTGTATTGTCTTGCTTGTGTATTTGTTCCCATCTGCTGCAGGAGGAAGATCCTCTGATGGCTGAATAAGGCACAGATTGATGAGCATAAAAGAATATTGTTAGAGTTGTTTTTATTAATGTTTTTTTTATTAGACCAGTGGTATTTGGTTTTATCATAGGTCTGTGGTATCCAGTCTCTGATTCTTGGTCACATAAGCAGTGTAAGGTATGGGTTCCATCTAGTAGAGTGTGTCTTAAGTCAGATTGAATATTGGTTAGTTACTCCAAAACTCCAAAAGCTTTGTGCCACCATTGCCCTAGAATATTTTGCAGGTAGGACAGATTGTAGATCAAAGGTGTGGTCAATTGTGACTGGGTCAATGCATATGTTTCTCTTTCGGTAACCTAAAAAGTACATTCCTGTACCAAAGACACTAGAACATAAGGGTGAATGTTCTATGTAGTTGCCAGCTAGTCCTCTCCATGTTTATTGAGTTCCATGTGTCTTGTATTCAGCATTAGGGCCTTACTGTCACTTTGTGGAGAACAAATTCTCCTTTTGGCAATAGCATGGATTATTTGAGGATTTCTCTGGGGCCCCTTTAGCCAACAACTCAATTGGATATAACCTAGTCATGGTACTGAAAACTTCATTTGGTGATAAGAGATGGTCAATTGGGACTCGATCTCCTTCTTTATGTAAAGAATTCATTAGGATGCCTTCATATATTTACAAAATAGCACTTTACAATCCTTGTTTTTCTTACAATATTAGAGAATTGCAACAGTACTACATGAAGCTGAGCTGTGTGTTTTACTGCCCATTGGCAGGATCACAAGGATGACAATGTAATATTATGAAAATATCTCTTATAGTCGAAGAGGCTGTAACTTTTGCTGAAGTTGTGTCTCATACGTGATCCCTTTTCATTATTATTATGCTTATTGCATCTTTCATATTTCGTTTCATTTCTGTTTGGGTATTTTTGGTGTTTCAAACTACACATATGAATATGTCATATCCTATTGTGTCCTGGTTTCCTTCAAGCATTTGTTACTGTTTTGTCGCTCACGGATCGCTATCTTTGAGTTGATTGACGTGTTTTAAATGCTTGACCATCTTGTCATCTTGACCATGACTTAGGTTTTTGAGTTCTCTCTATATCTGATATCATTTATCTTTCTCTCCTTAAGGGTTACGGGTATGGTTTGTGCATTGAACCAAGGGCTTTTTCATCTTCGTTTTAATTAGTATTGAGAATTCAGGGGGTCGTTTGTCTTTTGCTGTGTGCTTTTAACCCTGGGGGCCGGTATCCCAAGATGAGAAGGTAAGACACGATAACTTGCATGCGAAGGTTGCAGAACCCAGGGTGGGGGTCAGATCCGGGGTGCAGCGTCCTCCTGGATGCAGCTCTGGTCTAGGCTGGCAGCAAGCGTGTGTGGAGTCTGTGCAGAGCGGGTCCAGGGCAGCCTGACAGCTGCAGCTGTGTGGGAGGCAGCGGGAGACAGAGTGGGAGGGGCGGGTCCCCCAAAGAAAACAGCGGGATGGATTTAGAAAATAATTAATAAGGGCGGTGGAGAGGATAAGCATAACCGGAAGTGGAGCCTGGTGGGCGGGACCTGGAGTAACCGTCTCCAAGGAACCAGGCTGAAGGGACCGGAAATTGCGCCATTCCCTTTTGGACTGAGATAGCCTCGTGGTCCGGATCTGGGTGCGGAGGGCACGGCGGGTCCTCGGGGACCTGAAAACTCCGGAGCCGCAGTCTCCGCGCGGGGCGGCCTGGGAAAGTCACAGTCAGCAGCGCAGTGGCGGGAACCGCAGCCCGGCGGCCCTGGAACCTCCCAGGTGAGAGGAGCTGCGGGGCTGGGACCCAGGAGGGAGGGGACCCGGGCTGTGCTCGCTCAGGCTGCTCAGAAGGACACGGCTTTCAAAATTCTGTTGCAGATACCTTCCTGTTCTTGGCAAGTCTGAAATTCTATGGAAAGTGGGTCTTATTCTGATTTTTTTTCTTTCTCTTATGAATGCCAGACAATTCTGTCATGAATTTCTAAAATAATCTGGTAAGGCATTTGCAGAGTCTGTCGTTTGCAGGCCCGGTTGGTTCTCTTTGCTATCGTGGCAGTTGGCAACGCTCCTGGAATTTAAATTCATCCATGCTTTCTAACTCCCCTGTTTTTACCACATGCCTAATGAAGAGAGTGGCCTTTGCCCCCGAGACTAAGCGTCCCCGGGGAGCTTTGTAGATAATTATATATGTTTTGTGACGTGACACAGATACGGTTCCACACATTTGGCAGACTTTTTACTTCTCATTAATTTTCCATCTGAGATGTTGCAGTCTAGGATGTGAATACAGCATTGAGAAATGTGTCTTCATATGCTGTGTCATAAGTGACACCTTAGATGCAGGCAAATCTTACATGAATGACTGCTGTTAGAGTCGATCACACCACAGTATTTTATAGTTAGCAAACGCACTTTAGATGAAAGCAAGAGTAGTAATAATTGTGTTTTGAAAATTTATGATCACTCGCCTATATTGGAAGAAAATTACTTTTTTTCTGCTGAAGAATAGCACTCTCCTATGGACACGTGGCAAAAGTGTTTTGTTGCTGTCATTTCTTGGTTTGTTGTCATTCAGTGCTGTGACTGTGGACTTCTTGTAGGAGGAGTGGAGATGCCTTGACCCTACTCACCTTGCTTTTTGCAGAGCTCGTTGGAGACCGGCAGCAGTGTGGTTCTGAGGGTGGGGATAGTTTGCTTGCAGTCTCTCTGCTCCTCCTCAGGGTTCCTGGAAAGACTCTTCTGCATGTGTGTGAATGAGTAAAGTGAAATCCTCAGAGAAAAAGACTTCTGTGTGATATTTGCTTTCTCCTTCATATTCATCCTATTGGCAAGTGTTGGAATCTTTTATTTTTATTCCGTGAAGAGTCCAGGTGTTTTCTAAGGACGTTTTCATATTCAAGCCACACACTTGTCAGTCAGTCCTGCTCACCTGTGAATCATAACAAAGAGCCCTGGATGGAGGAGAGGAGACAGTAGCAAAGGACCCAGGTATGCTACAGGTATTGGGGAAGGGGCAAAGGGGTGGGGAATGGCTCAGGTGACAGTAGAAACAGGGCAGGGAATTGTTTTTGCTACATTCTATTTCATTCCAAATGATTCTGGAGAATTCCATTGAGAATAATCTTAAGATTGTCATATTATCCGTGTTTGAAAACGTCAAGCAAGTATTAATAATCAGAGGCACATATAACTTTTTAAGATTTTTTTTTTCTATGTACAAGAGTGCTTATCAGATCTTGGTGCAAATTTCTTATACTCTTTCTAGAGCATAAGCACCATTTAACATTTCTTCACTGTGTTTGAATGAGAATATGCTATTAGTTAGTCAGTACTCAGGTTATTTTTGTTACTAGGTTTGAAGACTTGGCTCTACTTTTAAGACAGATCCACACTGGAACATGCTGATTGAAGTTTGAGAAGACTGGGGGTTGTCTGCTGTTGTGTAGATGATTCTCTGATGCTTCTGGGCATTATTGGTTTTCTGTGCTGTTCATGGTCTTTTTTCTCAGTGGTGGACATTGAAGTCTCCCTGTATCATTCTTTATTTGCTTTCTACAATTTTGCCATTGTTTGCTTTAAACTTCTATAAAATGCATTCCTGTTGATCACATACCTTTCTGGAAATGTAGTATTTAATTACTTGTTAATATTCTTTGTTTTGTGTATGTATAGATTTGGCATTTCCTGCCATAATTATGACAAGCCCTCTTCATAGAAAGTCTTTTAAAAGATTTCTTCACTCTAGCCCTTTGTATCCTTACATTTGAAGTAAATACTTTTATAGAAAGTATATATTTTTATTTTAAGGTGTTTTCTCATTTTCTTTTGAAGTTGTATTCTATAATCAAGTTTGATTTGTGATATGTGATATGTGATTAATCACATATGTTTCCATAAATAACTGAAAGAGAATATAAAGAAATACTAGCTTCCTTTTACCTGAGTTTTTATTTCATTGATATTTTGCAGTATGTTTCATTCCTTTATAAACTTGAGTATCATCTTTTCTAGGTTTTCTCTCTTGTTTTGTTGTTCAATAAACTACACACAGTCTTGCCTATTGTCTGGAATGAGTTGGGTTCCCACAGTATATTTGTGTTCTTCCTCTCACATTTTCTTTAGTGATTGGTATTGTTTAGGACCTTAAGTGTGGACACTGGAAAGGTAGAGAGGTGTACATTGTATGAACATTTCTTCATGCCTAACATGTGGAACATTGGGCATTGTCAAATTTGTTTATTGTCACTTTGTTTTTTGGTTTATGTCTTTGGTTTTTTTCAAGACAGGGTTTCTCTGTATTGTTTTGGAGCCCGTCCTGGAACTTGCTCTGTAGAATAGGCTGGCCTTGAACTCACAGAGGTCTGCCTGCCTCTGCCTCCTGTGCGCTGGAATTAAAGGCATGTACCACCCAGGTTGGTTTATGTCTTGATTATAATATTATTTCACTTTTTTTAGCTTTTGGTAAAATCTGGGTATTTATGTATTGTACTATGAAAAGCTTACTAATACATTTCTGCATTCTGCATGTTATTTTTTTCAGTTTCAGTTATTACCATTTCTATGCAATTTTTCAGTTGCACAAGTCAGATTTTACCAATTCATTGGTTTACACCTATTTTTATTCTTCTATATGTTGCTATTTACCTTTCCTTACAACACTGGTTGATGAGGCTGCCTAGCCTGTAATACAAGTTTGTGGCATTTTGGTAAGATTCCGGTGGTCACAGCATCTCAGATTGGTTCTAGATCTGCTGATCTTATTACTTTAGGTGTCTACTCTTCTGCCACTGCCATGATGTTCCTGTGGGTCTGCGGTGTCATCTGAAATCACAGCTAGGATGACTCAATCTTTGCTCTGTTTGTCAGGGTTTTCTCTGCACTCCTAGGGTCTTTGTAATTTTGTAATTAGTTAATAGTGTAAATTTGTAGGGGTCTCTTTACTGTTCCTGTGAAGTAAAACATTGGTAGCTTGATTGTCATGAACCTTGAGGTTAATCATATACATCTTTTATACTGTAATTTTTCACAATAATGCATTCTTTTCCATGTGCATGCCTGATTTTTGCATTTTCCAGTGTCGCCCTCCATTCCTTCTGTGAATTCAAGTTTTTATTTTGTATGTCTATCTTGTGCTTGGTTAGGTTTTTTTCTTTTTTTTTTTTAACTATTTTTTTTATTGTTTACTATTCAGTTTTAATTGAACGAATTAAAGCAAAAATAGTATAAATCTTCTCTAATTGGTTGATTAAGTACATGATAAAAGCAAAAGTTCTCTCCATAGACATTGATTTCTCCTCTTAAGTTGTACTTGTATAAATTTTGTAATTAATAGGTATTGATAGATAATGATTTCATAGGTTTATTCAGTCACCTTTACCCCATTTTTACCCTCTGTCTTATTCATGGGTAGACAAATGTTGCAAAAATTCTAATTGGTCTTAATAATAAAAATCTGAGCCAGGTGTTGGTGGCTCACGCCTTTAATTCTAGCTCTTGGAAGGCGGAGGCAGGCGGATCTCTGAGTTTGAGGCCAGCCTGGTCTACAGAGTGAGTTCTAGGACAGGTTCCAAAGCAATACAGAGAAACCCTGTCTTGAAAAACCAAAAGAAATAATTAGTTGACAAAAAATCTGGAATCAGGTATAGGGGTTGATGCTGAAAGCAGAGAAGCAGAGCAGCCAGCCACTAGTTCTTACCTCTACAGCATCCTCAGACCAATGCAATCCTGTCCCTGTCAGACTAAATGCATTGAGCTCCCGTCTCCTCCGGCCTTATATTCCTCTCTCCACCCAGCCATATCACTTCCATCTCCACCTCCCTAGTGCTATAGATCTGCCTGCCTCTGCAAGTGTTTCAGTTCTGCTCCCGTGAGGAAGATTTCCCCAATGCAAGAGTTAAACGTGTGAAGGGAAGATTATTCTTACATTTGGGAAGCAAGGAATACCATGAAGTCACACTACACAGCCAACCGCACACATGAGATTCATTGAGAGGGAAGAACCCAAGTGTGTCTCTGCCTCTGTTGTGGCAGGAAGCATCACAGAACAGAGCCAAAGACAGGGTTTATAAAGCATTTCTTGGGCACAGAGCTTTCCACGGTGAGGATTGGTAAGTTTTCAAGTCCAGAACTTGGCATTTTTGCTCTGTGGGGCATGGCTTAGCTGCCTGTGTCCTTAGGCACTATGTGTAGCAATTAGAGTGTTGGACCCTCCGAAGGTCCTCAGTGGCCAGCCCTGGCCACTAGCATACCTCAAGGAACTTAATTTCCACCTTCTTTGGTTTACTATTGATAAAGAATCAGGAAAGGTTGAGGACATTATCATTAGACTATTTGTAGTGCCTATTAGCATACCAAAACTCTAGCTAGCTTCCAGGTCCTTCAGTATTGCAAATGCCTGTACTTTCAGAGAGTTAGAAAGGGATTTACATAAGATGGGGTTAGGCTCTGATTGAATGCCTTAATTAAAATATCAACCATTAGCCATGTAGAAATGTGAATGAATTATTTTATTTATATGATTCAGAGAGTGGGGAATGTGATGGGAAAGTTAGTAAGCAATAGCTCTTCATGGTTTCTGAATTAGTTCCTGTCTCCTGGTTCCTGCCTCCTGCTTCCTACCCTGTTTGAGCTTTTGTCCTGACTACCTTCAATGATGAACAGTGATAATGGAAGTATGAAACAAATAAACTCTAACCTCTCTACCATGCTTTTTTTTTAAATCATGTTGTTGCATGGCAAACATAGAAACCCTCACCAAGACAAACAGTATACATTAGTCAGTGTTCGTGGAAATCTATTTCTTTGTGTACTATTTCCTTCCTCTCTTCCTCTGTCCCTCCCTCCCTCTCTTCCTTTTTTTTTTTTTTTTTTTTTTCCCTCCTGGATGCCTTAAAAGTTTTGCCCGGATGGTGGTAGTGCATGCCTTTAATCCCAGCACTCAGGGTCAGAGCCAGGTGGATCTCTTTAAATTGAAGTCCAGTATGGTCTACAAAGTGAGTCCAGAAGAGGAACCAAAGAAAGCTACATGGAGAAACCCTGTCTCAAAGGAAAAAAAGTTTTCTTCATAGAAGTAAATTCATCATTATTTAACATTATCCTTAGTTCTTTTGGAAGTAGCTTGAATGTCTTTCATTTCTAAATTACGTTATTGCATTGCAATTGTCATTAATAAATAGGAAAGGCAGTGATGTGTATTTTGTTGTTTTTAATTATGTATAAAGCACTTATCAAATGGTGTGTTGATTTTTATGACCACATCATCATTGAAAAGGAATTTGGTGACTTTCTTAGTTGTTTCTCCTTAATTCTTTTTGGTATTCAAATTTTTCCAGTTCTCTCTTGTGGCTCTGGATTCAGTAAGACTGGAGATTATATGCATCTTCTCTCTACAGTTTTTCTATTATTGTTATTCATTTTTCCTCTGAATTGTACTCTTGGCATTGCTATAGCACACTTGCCCTTTCCTGTGTTCAGCTTTATCTATTTCTTCCTCTTACCTTTAGGAGTTTATCTTAAAGTCTGTTGGTTTATTTTAAGTCATTTGGATTTTCATATCATGGGGCTTTAAAAAAATTTTCAGTGTTCTGGTTGGTGATATTACTGGTACTAATTTGTTTTGTTCTAGTTAGAAATGGTAGTTCAGTGATTTTATTTACTTATTTATTTTGCCGAACATAGTTTGTTACTCCCCACCTCTCTCTATTCATTAATTCCTTATATTCATATATACAATGCATTATTTTCTGTGTTCTCTTGAATAATTTCTTTCTGATTTTTTTTCTGCCCATATTTTTTTCTCTAAGATGGCTCGAAGTGCTACTTGACTGGGGAACCTGTGCTATTTTATAGGCTTCTTTCTGTACCCTTCCTTCTCCGTGAATTTTAAGAGCCCATGTTGCTGGGTGTAATGATAAGGTTCATAGTCACTTTGTTTCCCCATTCTAAATAGGTCTTTTGATTCTCTCTTATGTATAGTGATGTTGATAAATTTTCTGGTATCATTTTGGTTTTAAGTCTTTTACTGTGGTTTGTCATTGTGTGTAAGAGACTTGTATTAACTTCAGCTTTGTATTTTTGACATTTTGATATGAAGTTTCAACAAGAATTCCAGGCTTTGTTTCTGAGAGAGAAACTGAGAGAAGAACAATGAGAAGAATGAATTCGTTTGTGATAAATGCACCCCAGGTCAGTGTGATATCCACATTTATTTGAAAAAAGTTTTTATTATTAAAGCCATTCAAGACTTTAATTCACTACCTTGGTAATGTTATGTTATCTAAAGTCTTGACTTCCTATGATTTATTCTTGTTTTCTTCTCTTATAATCAGGTGTAAATCTTTAGATCATTCATCCACATAGCATAGCCTTGGCCTATTATATTGTCACTTGGTTTTATACTTTAAGGACATAAATTTTCATGGGATTAATATTTGCCATTCTGAAAGAGAATCCATATAAATGGAGCTCATAGAAATATATTGATGGACACTTTTTGCATAGGATGGACTTGTGTCCTTTTACATTTGTGAGGAAGGAAGTTTCATATGGCTCATACATTGCATTTCTGGGATGGTCAGATTTCCAGAAACAGGCTTATGATTGTGGTCATGAAGATACATTGACTTTTTCACTGACATCACTGAGCAGTTCATGCAAAGTAAAACAAGAAGAGACTCACTGTCTTCACTCTGAATCATAGCACCCTAGACAGTACATAATGGGAGGATTAATGTGTCTTTCTCTTGCCATAAAATTGATTTCTCTGTTAAGATCTTGGTTTCTCATTGGCATTTTATGTCAAACAGTGATGGTGGGTGTGCTGACACATGAAATCTGTTTGTCACAGGAAAGGGTTGGTTCACTGCTCAGTACTAAGTTCTCAATAGACAGATGATTATTTTTCTTTGTTTTTATAAAGTACATAAGCTACATAAGCAGTACTGTCTCCACTTTGCAATTCTAACGTGTGGAATATGTAACTAAGAATTTTCTAGACAGTATTGACTTGATGCTGTGATTGAGGAATCAATTTTCAAGCATCAACAGATATCACTCTCAATTCATTTACTGTATTTTTGGTTTTTGGAAGGAATTTCCTTCCACCCTGCGTTCTCCCTCTTCCTGAAAAAATTTTTTTTTTTTTTTTTTTTTTTTTTTTTGAGACAGGTTTTTTTTCTGTATTGCTTTGGAACCTCTCCTGGAACTAGCTCTGTAGACTAGGCTGGCCTCAAACTCATAGACATGTGCCTGCCCCTGCCTCCCAAGTGTTGGGATTAAAGGCATGCACCACCAAAGCCTGGCAAAGGGAGAAATTCTTAAGAGTAGTGGTGATGGTTCTATTTCTTTCTTTACAATATTATTCTTTGTAAGTATATGAGTGTTCATATGCATATTTTTATGTATATTGCATGATGCATTATGCCCCTGGATGTCTGGTTAGCAGCAATCCCTTGGCACTGAAGTCAGGCATTGTAAGGAGCTGACATGTGGTCAGAGAGAATTAAATTATGTTTTCTCCGTGCGAACAGCAAGGGCCTTTAAGCTCCGAGTTACTTCTCCATACCCCAGGTTTACATTTGGTGCACATTTGTGACAAAGACAGTACATAACCTTGCATCTTACAATTTTTGAGTGAAGGAGGAATTACAGTTATTTATCTATGTAGCCAAAAATACTACTAGGTGAATGAGCTCTAATATAGTTGAAATTAGAAGATTCACATTTTCAACTGACCCAATCTCATGAAGTATAATTTATTCAAAATTAATGAAAAGTTAGTATAATCATAATTACTCAATTTAATACATTATTCACAGAAAATATTTCTACCTCATTTGAATGCATTGGCATATATGCCATTTATTTACACATATATTCTCATTCTGTGGTAAAACACCATCTGGAATGTATAAAATCATTATAATCTGTATTGCTGGTATTCACTTTTAGGAAAGTTTAAATAATAATACCATTGCTCTCTAATGCTGGCTTCTCAAATTACTTCATGGTTGTGAAGATATATTTTCATAAAATATGTGTTGTTTGGAACACTGATGTATTCATTGATGTTACTGTGCTTACTCTTTAAAGAAAGAAACTGATTTTAATTCATACATGAATTCTGCACTCTGTATTCTACTTATTTGTTCTAGAAAGGCTGCAGCACTGTATCCAGGATCTAAACTGAGCATTTTAGAATAGAGTAAGGTAAAACCAAGCTGCAAACAGGATTGATCTAGTGTCCAGTATTTGAGCAAGGTCGACAGTTACAGAATTCGGAAAAATAGTGTTGCTCATCATAACTTGACCATCTGAGACATGATACTGGGTTCCTATTTGAGATCAAAACATAAAGGTACATTCCTGCCTCTAGTGCTTAGGTGTATAACTATATACTTTAAATTTTTGCTGGTTTTAAGACTATGTCATCTTGTTTTCACATGTATTAAAAAAAAAGTTGTTCGGCTGTCTTAGAAAGTATCTTTAAAATTAAATTTTAATTTAGGTTTATGTGTATTGGTATATTTGCCTGGATGTATGTGTCTGGTATGTATTCCTCCTGCCTGTAGAGTTCAAATGAGTACACTGGTTCTTACAGAACTGTTGTTAAAATCTTTTGTATAATCCCTTGAGGGTGGTGGGAACCACAATACATTTTAAAAGACTGTATAGAATCAAACCTGGAGATAAATTTTCAAATGCACTGATGGTGACAAATCCCTTTTTTGCTGCTGAGGCATTTGAAAACATCAGAAAATTCATAAATGAGTAACACCATATGGATGTAAGTAGTGTAATAAGTCATTCTACACATTGTCTATGTTAGAGCAACAATGCTTAACTTCTCACACATCTAGAGAGCTTCTCAATCAATTTTGTCCTTGATTAATTGCTTTGCCTCATCTGTATTAGAGAAATATCTCTGATTCTTTAAATTTCTTTTATCTAGGGAAGCATATTGTGCAGTAGCACATGGCAATTAAAACATGGTAATTAGGTAATTTTCCATTACAGGGTCTGTTATCATTCAGGGATGTGGCTGTGGACCTCTCACAGGAGGAGTGGGAATGTCTAGACTATGCTCAGAGGGCTTTGTACATGGATGTGATGCTGGAGAATTACAACAATCTACTCTTTGTGGGTAAGAATGTTCTTGTAGAGGGCTGGAGAGCTGGCTCAGTGGTTGTTCTTCTAAGGGTCCTGAGTTCAATTCCTAGCAACTACATAGTGGCTCACAACCATTTATAATGAGATCTGGTGTTCTTTTCTGGCGTGCACATACATGCAAGCATAACACATAATACATAAGTAAATAAATCTTTTTTAAAATGTACATAAAAAGAATATACTTGTACAGTTACTGATTAATCCTTTGTATTTACCCACTTTATGTATGCGTAAACTCTCCGAACTATGTATACTCCAGCCCTAAGGCAAATTAGGGTTACTAGCATAACTTTTTCATGATGATTTGTTTACATTTTTCTGTGTTCTCTGGAAGAATAACCAATGCTATATTTTGTGTGATCGCTCTAGCCATTATATATGGTTTTTAATGAGAACTTCAATTTTTTAAAAATGTATATTCAAGGTTAGGGACAATATATTGTAGTACATATAATAATTGGAATATTCTGAAATGACTATTAAACTACTCTAGATTTTAAAAAGTTTAGGACATTAGAGAAAAAGCTGTTGATGGTAAGAATGTTATATTTAATTTTCGAGATGTAGTTTCATTATGGAAAATTCCTTTTCACCACCTTAAGCTCTAAAACGCCATGGAGAATTCAAATGGGAACAACTGGCATAGCATACTTTTAATTCTAGCACTTTGGATATTGAAGCAAGAGTTCCATATCACCCTGGGATATAGAGCTCCTAGCTCAGCAGGGCTTCTCAGAGGTGTGACTCTGTTTCAGAATCATAAACAAGAAAGTAGAGGGTTATTCTTCATATGATTCTTTAGAATCCTTTGTTAAATCTTTGTTGCTTGGTCACCCATTTGTCCTCCCTTCTGCAATGTACAGTATTAAGATAAGAAGAGGCCTATTATTGGTCCCTGTGGTTTGATATATATCAGATTAGAGGTTCTTATGAGCTTGTATTTAATGATTGTGAAGCAGAAAAGGCATTTCCTGGGAGCTTAATCCCTGAGAATTTCTAGTTTATGTGTCTTAGAAAACATCAGTTATTGAATCTTTTACTCATGCATTAATCTCTGTTATCCCTAACTGTATTAATTTTCCAGAGAATCATTGCACATTTGGTAAATATGAGACAGTTTTGGATCAAAGTACAAAGCTCATTGTTCAGGGTCATGTGAATATCCAAGAAGAGCGTTCTCAATATAATGGACTTGGAAAAGTTATTCATGAATCTTCTGAAAGTACACCGTATGACAGAAATGACATTGCAGAAAACTGTGAGGACTGTTTTTTTAACCACAGAGATGCCTCTTTTGAATCATTAAACACAGACAGACATAATCGTGAGGACACTGGAGAAGAACCTTACAAATACAAAGAAAGTGTAAACTTTTTAGATTTGTGTTCCATCACTAGTCAAAATCAAAGACTCCACACAGGAAATGAAGAACACAAAAATACAGAGTATGGTAAAGATTTTGACTCTAAAGATATACTCACACTGAAACGAGCCAGTAGTGCAAAGAAGCCACAGCAATGCAAGAAATGTGGGAAATGGTTCAAGATGTACTCAAGCCTCAGTAGACATCAGAGAGCTCATGCTAGAGAGAAATCCTATAAATGTACAAAATGTAGTAAATCCTTTCTGTATATGTCCCATCTCAATGTACATTACAAAGTCCACTGTGGGGAAAACCCCTACAAATGTACCGAATGTGGTAAGTGCTTTCTTCTTGCATCAGACTTGGAAAGGCATTACAGCTCCCACAATGGAGAAAACACTTGCAAACCTAGTGATTGTGACAAATCCTTTGTCTGCTACTCAGGTCTTACAAAACATCAGAATACTAATGGAGGAGAGAGTCTTCCTGAATGTAAACAAGATACTGGAATGTTCTATACATGGTCACACCTTGAATACCATGGTCAAACCTATACAGGAGAGAAGCTTTACATATGTAATGAATGTGGTAAATCCTTTTCTAGATTTTCTGATCTGAAAAGACATCAGAGAATTCACACAGGTGAAAAATACTACAAGTGTAATGAATGTGAGAAATCCTTTACCCAGAAAGTCAGTCTCAGAGCTCATCTGAGAATACATACAGGAGAGAAACCTTACAAATGTAGTGAATGTGACAGATCTTTTACTCAGAATAGCCAGCTTAGAGTTCATCAGAGAACACATACAGGAGAGAAACCTTACAAATGTAATGAATGTGAGAAATCTTTTATCCAGAATAGCCATCTTAGAGCTCATCAGCGAATACATACAGGAGAGAAACCTTACAAGTGTAGTGAGTGTGACTTTACCTGTGGCTCTCATCTTAGGAGACATCAGAAAATACATACAGGAGAGGACACTTACAAATGTAATGAATGTGAGAAATCCTTTACTGAGAAAAGCGGTCTTAGAACTCATCAGAGAATTCATACAGGAGAGAAACTTTATAAGTGTAGTGAATGCAACAAATCCTTTACCCGGAATGGTTCTCTTATAGCTCATCAGAGAATCCATACAGGAGAGAAACCTTACCAGTGTAGTGAATGTGACAAATGCTTTACCCAGAAAAGCAATCTTAGAACTCATCAGAGAATTCATTCAGGAGAAAAGCCTTACAAATGTAGTCAGTGTGAGAAATCTTTTAATCAGAAAGTTGGCCTTAGAACACATCAAAGAATTCATACGAGAGAAGCCTTACGAATGTAAAGCATGCAGAAAAGTTTGACATGTTTCTTGTGTAAGAAATCACGTGAAAATTCATAACTGTGAAGAAAAATTTCCATTGAAAATAATGTGGCATTTGCTTTCACCAAACTCTGCCATAACTGCAGGTGGAGCTTTGTAGTAGAGAATCATGAACAGGGAAAACTTGTGAAAATGTTTAAATAATGTTTAATCCTGGAAACAAAAATTTATGCTGAGGGAAATTCTGAAAATGTGACAATGTAGGAACATTTTCATTAATTAAAACTTTTACTTGTTTAACCTCAAATACTCATAATGAAGAAACTGGAAGAACAAAAATATATTGTTATGTAACAGCTTTCTAGAGAGTGAAATGATTCACTCTGAAGGGAAGTTGAATAAAGCATAACGTAGAGCTTAAAGCTCCAAAGAGCTTCAAGAAATCCCTGAAACTGACAAGATTGGGTATGCTTAACCCAAATGAAGAAACTCAGACAAATCATGCCCCTTAGGAAGAAGATTTGACAAATTGAGTCACCAAGACTGGCTGTTCTTTAACCTGTAGATAGCCTGTGTTTGCTCTGGGTATCCAGTATTCATTAAGTATATCCTATGCTGGTTGGACTTTAATAATGCCAACTGTTTTTTTGTTTGTTTGTTTTTGTTCCTTAGCTCTGGTGAAAAATTCACCAAAGGAAATAAAGCTGATTGGTTCAATAAGTTACACTTGATTCTGTTTTCTGTTGCCAGTTGGAGTGAATAGATGCAAATATATGTTTCATCTCTCAAGAAAAGTGTTTCATGAAACTTGCTGAATCCATTCATTTTTTCCTCCAAACTTGTATGTAGATACAGCAGGTGTTCTCAACCCCTCAACCTGAGGGTTGCATCCCCTTTGGGTGTCAAAGTACTACCCTCTTACTGGGGCTACTAAGACCGTAGGAAAATATGTATTTCTGATGGCTTTAGGAATTGAGATACTGTTCCTTCATGCATCTCAAGGCAGGTTAGCCCACATGCAGCTATGCTCACATATGGGCACCTGAAACTGTATTTAAGGGCTTGCAGCATTTGGAAAGTGAAAACATTTGGGTCAAGGAAAGTAAGGAAGCTTGTACTCCATGCTCAAGACTTACCGCCATAATAGTTCTTGTATAAGATAAAAGGACTCTACACATACAGAATTTAGAAGGTTTGGGCACCTCAGAAGGCTGTTCTCTTCCTTGCATTCTATGAGGAATGATAGGTATGCAAAATGATAAATGAAAGTGTACCTATAAAAGTCATTTAAACTATGCTGTTTCCCTGCATGGGTCTGAACTCAAGCAAATATCCCACATTTCAACCAATCTCCAATCACCCTCAGAAAAATACTACCCATGGGCAAATATTACAGACCATTTTGTTGTCCTTATGTATTGCTGTACTTAATCGCACCAAGAAGTGAAATTCAATTCCTTTTGTTATATCCTTTACACAATGCTAATTTTGAATACATTCCAGAATACTGATCATGAAACAAAACTTGGTAAATGTTTCTGCTAAGGACCTATATTCAGCTTTATTTCATGGGTGAGTCTATCCATACAAATACAATAAACCATGAAGTTTTAAAGAGACAGCTTAGAAATCTCCCACAGTGTGCTGGAAAATGAATTTGATATAGTGAAATAGTATGAAATAGTATTTTGTCTTAACTCTATAAAGCATTTTATTATAATATTACTAAAACAGGAAGACTCAAATTTTGGCACCTAGACAAGGTTGTATGAATAAATCCACATAATTAACAAAATTTCTTCAGATTTCAATACAAGAAGAAAGTTTTATATTCATAGTAAAATATTGCTTGAGAATGTTTTGGTGTTCGCAAGCAATGGAGTTTATTGAAACCTGAGCTTGTGGCTAGTGCAATCTTAGTAAATTCAGTCATTTGTATTCAAATTATCACAGATAGTTTCTGTCAGTTGTGCTACATCAGAGATGTAGATAGCAGCTAATGGAAAGATTGGTGGTCTCTGGACTGACTGTTAAAACTCTGGAGATTACAACCAGTTGGCTTTATCTTGATACAAAAGCAGATTAGGAGAAAAAAAAAATTGCAAAGGAAAAATCACAGACCAGTTGCAAGAAGAAGTTTGAAAGAGATTCTCCCTGATGGATGTCAACTCCAGGCACAAAATATATAGGATCACTGAGAGAAGACAGACAACCATGTGAATATCCATAAAAGGCCTGTACCAAAATATCCCATTTGCTTACTTTAAAACGCTCTGAAGAATAGAAGGGACAAACCTCAACTTATTGAATATAGCAATCAGAACCCTGAACCTAACCTCACACGAAATGAAAAGGGCTGCCATCATTTCACTTTAATCAGAAGAGAGACAAAGACCGTTCACTCCCTCCACACTAACTCAACACAGTGTATTAGTGCTTCCAAACAGCAAGGATGGAGAACATTTTCAATGTGTCAAATGAGAAAATTCAGAGGGCATGTCTGTATTATTTTGGAACTGGGACTATCACTGTGTCAAAGCTTCAGGGATAGCTGCATGACCACACAAATCTTCACTGAGGAACCACTGCTGGTGGTGGGGGGCTGTTTAAAAGGGTCTCTGGTCAACAAAAAAGCCAGGAAGACATGGGTCTTTAACACCACAGCTGATGTTAAATGAGAGGATCAGAACTGAAGAAATAAACAATTCCCAACCACTTCTGTATCCTAAGGAATATATTTAGGATGTGACAGAAATTCAATAAAAAATCAAAACAATAAAAAATGAAATAGAAGTGATGATGACACATACTTTTAATCCTGGCCTATTGGTCTTTTGTTTTAATTTACGTCTTTTGAGTTTTTGTAATGTTTTGTTTCTTGCTTTATTTAATTTCTTTATTTTTAGAGAGAGAAAAAACAATTGGGCATGTTTGTGAGCCTCTAAAACTGATCAAAATATATTGTATGAAAGTGTCAATAAAAGGTACTAAAAGGAATTAAATTCAAGTCATTAAAGAAAGAAATTGAAGATTTCAGAAGATGGGAGTATGTCTTATACTCATGGATTGGTTGGAATAATATAGGAAATAATATGGAAACATGACAATCCTAAGGAAATCAAACAACAGATTCAAATCCCCATCAAAAGCCACCTTTATTCTTCCCTCACAGACCTCCAATATTGCCAGCCAAACATCCTGAGTTACACTATTAGCAATATTGACACGAGGGAGGACATTTCAGGAACTCAGGATTTGGAAAGGAAATGGGTGTCTTAGGAAGTCGGTGATCACTCAGCCCATTAGCAGCCTACTATTGAATTCATTCTGCATTGTACCATTTTCACAGATAGGTGGTGTAATTGTGATTTTACTAATAGAAACAAGTTTGTCTCCTGGGAAGCATGCTAAAGGTACTTGCAAATAAAGCACAGAAAATTCAATTTGAAAATCAGTAGTGAATGCAGAAACTTGTGGATGTCCAAGATGCAAAAAAGAAGCAACGTGTATGGCCACAGCCCTAAACGAGCCAGTTACACCATGCCATCTATGGCTCTGGTAATATTGATGAACAGGACATGGGAAGGAAATAAGAAGGGGAAGAGGAGGAATGGTCATGATGTGTCAATCTCCAGACTCCATACAACTATAGTAATCAGTAACCCAGAGCAACTGTACTTACCTGCATTGTCCTCATTCAAGACCAGCCCTAGCCACATTCAGTCTAGGAAGGGGAGAGGCTCCCAGGGTCCCATTCTTTACCGCTCAGCTGTGGCCATGGATAGATTTTAGAAGGGGAATCAATATCTTTAGTTCCATACCGATAATCTCACAGATGTCTCTGGTTAGTTTTGGTTGGTTAAAAAAAAAAAAAAAAAAAAAAACAAAATGAATAGAAATGGGAGAGAGAGAGAGAGAGAGAGAGGAGAGAGGAGAGAGAGAGACTAGTTGGAACGGTGGAACAGGATTGCAGGGATTTGGAGATGAGAGTGTGTACAATGAGAAGTGTTCTAGGTGAAATGTTAAAGGATAATAATCATCTTAATAGTGACTAAAATGACCACAATGGTATGTCATTTTGTTTTCATGACATTATCTGGTTTAGAATCGTAACATTAGCTTCAGAAGGAGTCTCGAAATCTTTTCGTTTTTTTACATCAAGGAATAATTTGAGTAGCTTCAGTATCACTTATTCTCTGAAGTTTTGACACAATTCTGTTTTGAGTCAATCTGCTTCTCTCTACCTTTGTAATGGGGTGTGTTGCTGCTTCATTGCTGATGCTACTCAAATATCCATTTATTTCATGTTGGTGTAATTTTGGTATGTGTTATGAATCAGAATATTCCCACATTTATTTTAGAGTTTTCAATATAGTTGCCTAGAGGTCTTTAAAGTCAGTATGCACCAGGTATGCTTGTATATTCATGTCTACTGATTAGGCTGTGTGTGGAAAACACTTAACATTTCTCAACAAACTAGATGTAGAACTACCACATACACTACACTGTTTTGTCACTTCTTTATATATTGTATCCCGATTGTTGCCTACAATTCTCTGTGTGCACCCATGCCCATCTGTATAAACTGAGAAAAAAAGAAACTCAAGACTTACCCAAGTTTCTTCTTTTCCTTTGTTTACCTTTTTTTTTTTTTTTTTTTTTTTTTTGGCTTTTCAAGACAGGCTTTCTCTGTGTAGCTTTGGAGCCTGTCTTGGAACTCTATATGTAGAAGTGTTGGGATTAAAGGTGTATACCACCACCACCACCAGTCTTACTCAAGCTTCTTTAGAGATGATACCTAAGAAATAGATTTGTCATAATTATAATGAGGACCAGGTTTCTCTGGTGTGTCCTGAGGCTCAAGCTTTGCTGGCATGATCATGACAGATAAAAAAGGCATCCCAGCTCTGCAGGAGAGTGAACGCATGAAAGTATAAACTCAGAGCTAGTGCAATCTGCCATTAAAGTACAGTGTTCTGAATCCATGATCATCTTTTAGAGGGCAGGGCTACTTCTTTCACATTGTGGTATAAGGTATTCTGTGTTGTGTGGGATGATAAAAAGGTCACTGACTATGGCCATAGGGAGGAATAGTTTCTATGAGCTGATATTCAAGCAGTCACGCAAGGCATATTTATTGATTGTTACACAAAAGTTCTTTCTTGGGTAAAACAACCTATACTAAAGCTCCTTATCTAATCACTGTTTTCTGAGGTAGTGTCAGTTCTTGCAGTGTCAGTTCTTATTGCATACAGTTTGCAATGCCCAACAATTCGAGATGCTTCCTTCAGGTGTTCCAGGATGGTCTTCAGACCAAAGTCATGCAAAGACTATAAAATTCCTGAGGAAAAACAATTCTATAAATCACGGAAAAGAATCAGTTTCCCACAATGGTTTCTTCAATGTATATGCTATGAAACAACTATTCCTTTTAATGTTTACTGTAGATACAGGAAAAACAGCTATTCTAATGTTTGCTCTATATACAATGATTCAGACAGATTGCCACCACACTGTGGTGTATTTTATCTTTCCTTCTATATGCAAAAAAATGATGTAACCAGATAATAGATTCTGCATATGTTCATGGATTAAACATATTAGTGATTAAAAAACTGTCTGAATTAAGAAACGAAAGCATTTTCCTTCAAGTC